CCTCTGCATGGGTGAGTCGTGTGTTCATGCTTCTCTGAACTGACATTCGGGTGATAAAGGGCATATGCGATGCTTATTCTCCTGATACTGTCAAGTATTAGTACTCTTAATATAAGTCTTTTAATGATAACCATTGTCATGATATTCATTTATATGCGGAGCTCTCCCTATAAGCTCAGATGAGCAGGATTTTGTTTGTAATATAGTGGGTATGTTGTGATCCCATAATACTCCTTAGTAACTATATGGGGCATTTAATTCATAGAATAATAGAATGGTTAGGATTGGAAGGGACCTTAAAGCTCATCCAGTTCCAACCCCCCTGCCATCAGCAGGGACACCTTCCACTACACCAGGTTGCTCAAAGCCTCATCCAGCCTGGCCTTAAACACTTCCAGGGAGGGGGCATCCACAACTTCCTTGGGCAACCTAATTCAGAAATTATTTTGTGCAATTAAATGTTAAATGTGCAGTTTGATCTGAGGATAAAGGAATTCAAAGGTCTGATAAGTGTACATCTTTAGTATACATGGCAGAAGTGATAGCAGTTTAATTTTAAATAAATGTTCAATCTAATATTTTTCTTTTGTTGTACAGTGGGCTTAGTGTACTGCGCTGAATATATAAATGAATTAGCAGCCATGAATTGGAGGTAAATGTTTTCACTTTCCTTTTCACGTTTAAATGGATATTCTTATAAAAATTGATTGGTTTTTTTTTCATATGATTCCAATAAAACATTAATTTAAAGAGTCACTCATGCCTCATCAGTAGAATGTGATGGCAGAGGGTCTGTTGCATTGATTGATACAAAGCTTTTGAAAAAAACCATACAGTACAGTATAGTTACCACTTAGCTTATAAGAAAAGGTAATTTTTAATAGCTAGCATGTATTTATTGTACTGCTTAAAATCAGTGTTTATATGTATGGTTGTAAAATAACTAGTCAGAAAACTAAGAGAAAAGCAGAGTGGGATGATTAAGGGGAAGAGGATGTGAGCTTTGGTGGGGTTTTTTGTTGGGTTTTCTTTGGTAGCTATTCATGTTTAAGAAGCTGAAGTTAACCACCTCTTCTCAAAATATTACCACTATTTTATGTACTTATTTATAAGCATTAAAAACATTACAATTTGCCTGGTTTACTAAGCCTGTGTACCAGAAGTAAACTGATAGCTTATTTTCATAAGCACTGAACTAACCTTTCCTTGGTGGAACTGGAAATTATGTGTTTAACACTATGTTCTGCAGGCATCTAATTGTAAGTCTTTATGTTCCATTTCAGGCATACACAGCCTAAATTACAGCTTTGCTATATTTAATATTCCATTATCCTTTTTAATATGAGTAACCAAAATACCTAAGAAAGTAATTTCAGACACTTAAGGATAAGCATGATTTCTGATGCACAGATGTATGTACTAATCTAGTCACATTAGTAAGTTACTTTATCTATGGTTATTTTAGTTAGGTTTTGACCAGTAAAACCTGAAAGAAAAGAAAAGAAAGACTAGTATTGTAATAGATTTCATAACTGATGAAATATTGGCTGTCTCTTTGTTTTGACTTAGACAGTAGAATGCTAGCCTATGGTTGGGGATCCCAAGAAGTAGGGTAATCTGTACAACGTCCATGTTGGATAGTTACTGTGAAAGTCTAATGTTATGTTAACTACACTGAATTGGATAAAGCTTCGTCTTTTATTTTTATTTATTTTATTTCTTTCAGGCTGTTTTCTAAATACCAGTACTTTGATTCAAGAGGAATGTTTATTTCACTAGTATTTTCAGCACCACTTCTGGTGAATACTATTATAATTGTGGTACGTATACGTTCATTTATATGGATACTTCTTCCTTTAAATTGGTAAGTAAATGTATATGGATGAGCTCAATTTTATAATTTACTTACTTTTCAGGTAACCTGGGTTTACAGAACTTTGAATGTAATGACTGAACTGAAGACGCTACAGCAGAGAATGAAAGCAGAAAAAGTGAAAATGAAGTGAAAGCACCTAACGCTATTTTTTAAAAAATTGTAATAATACCTGTCCAAGTAATCAGTCCTTCTGTATGTTTATCCAGAAACAGCAATGCTTTTGTGTCTGATGTCGAGAGGACTTTGCAGCCTGTGGCCGTGGACAATGAGGTGAAAGCAGGTATCTACAATACAGTTGAACTGGCTGTGAAATTGAGAAACCCAGTCTTAACAGGTCTTTTTGTCCTTCAAGGTGAGACAGTTTTCCACCATGACCAAGGCTATTGGTGAGACACAGTCTTCCAGTCTGTTTCCATTCGACTTTGTATTTTTAACTATGTCTTGACTGTGTGTTTATCAAGTATCCAGTCTTCTGCTGCTTAGGCCAATTGGAGCACTGTTGTGAGTTCCAGTAAGTGAGGGATTGTATTCAGAATACCTCAGGAATCCATGCTTCTGTGAAGCATTTAACTTCTTTGTAAATAAAATTTCATACTTCCTGTGTGTATTGTGTGCCAGTAGCATTTTATAAATAAATTTATCCACTGTATCTTAAATGGAGTTAATTTGAATTAAGTTTTAATTGGATTGTTTTCTTTTTTCTTATAAAAATTCCCAGTTTGGTAAAATTTTGTACTTCATTTGTGTAAGTAATTCAAAACAATCTCTAGATTTCTTTCAGTTTAAAGTTCATGATTTTAATGCTCCTAGATAAATATCTTTTCTTAAAACTGGACAAAAGTTTTGTAGTTTTTACTTACTTGTAGAGAAGAAAGGAAGAGGAGGAACTCTGTGATATTCTATGCAATTTTGTTCCTTTTTTATATACTTTACTTTTTTTAATAAATAACTGAAAATGAAAAATTGACTGGTAAAAATGAAGAAGGCTTCAGTTTTGCTCAGAGTAGCCTATTTTTCTTAGATTAAGGATGTTGCCAGAGGAGGGAACAGACACAATGGAAGACTGTCTGTACATATTTAGTAAAAGTTGTATCTGGAAGCAGTTAAACCTCTGTGTGGAGACCTAAACTTCTGTCTAAAATAGATGTCATTTAAGACATAGGGAAGATGATCTACAAAATTGAACTTACACTAATGTGAGGAACAGTTGGGTACAAAAATGCTGAACGCCAGTGAGTTTTTAAGCTTGTATGTATTTGTGAAATTAATTTTAAATACTTGAGTAGTCTTCATACCAGTGGGAACATGGACCTGAGAGAGATAAGCAGATGCATACAGAGTTTGCAAGGTTAGGGAGAAAGGCACGCTGTTTCTGGAGGGCTTCACAGCATTGTTAGAAGGTCAGTGCAGTGTTAGTCTGGAATACGTTTCTTTACCTTTGCCATGGATTAATTTAGCATGTCTCTCCTGACTCATTGCTCTATCACAGGCCTCTAGGCTACTTTGTATTAGCAAACTAAATAGATGCAGGCTTGCTATGTTGACCCATAATCATCCATGAGGTTGCAATTCTTGATGCAGTGTCGTGTAGTGTCAAATGTCACTTCGCAATGAAACTTCTCAAGTGGTCTGGTAGATAGCATGTGCCTTTTGGAAACAGTCCCTGTTTTGAAGGATTGAATAGAATCTATTCAAATGGCTACAAGATAGGCTGTGGCACCTGTCTTTGGGACCAAGGAACAGGCCTCTTTGATTTTATATAGCTAGATACAGTCCTCCCAGGCTGGTTTACAAAAGTTCAGCTTTGCTCTTAGGATTTTATAGGGACAGGTATGCAATTTTTCATACATGACCCTAAGCATGACCACACAAATATTGTGCTCCTGACTTTCCTGTTTTGAAATGTTCTGCAACAATATCATTGCACAATAGTTTTAGTATCACACACTTAAAGCTGTAAGTCTTCAGTAAGTATGTAAATATCCTACAGAGATACCAGCTGTTATCAATAGACTTTGGCTTCACAACATGTATGAATTTGATTCACAGTACATGAGGTGGTTCAGAGCAGCCAAGCAGCAAGTTTTATGTGCCTTATTTATTACATCCCAGCCAAACTTCCCTGGAATAGTTCAGTATTTTGTCTTCTTTCTTGTGTGTGAGGTTGGAAAAAATGAAAATTCCTTCTTCTGTAAGTATGTGGAACTGGTGAGATACAGCAGTTATAGCTGTCTTTTATAGCATAATGTCCTGGTTTTATCTTGTCCATAGACAAGAAATTACTTTTTCTGTATTGCCAATTTAGTGTTGCTCTTGCTTGGCATAAGATTTATTAGAGAAATTCTCTCCCCCTTCAGAGATCCCAAGTGAAATAAAAAAATCTTATGCTTGCTTAGTTTCTCTTTTCCTCTCAGCATAGTTGACCTTTCAGGCAGTATTTCATTTTCTGTTGCATTACCAGAGTAATTTTGCCCTTTAATATAAGATCCCAGGGCATTACAGCCCTTTAACAAAGTTGAAGAACAAAGAACCCTAGAGTGTGAGTGGCAGGCACTTTATTTTTAATTAGCAAGTAAAAATCCATTTGAGCTGTATATTATTTGTTGATTTATGATACCACTGACTCAATGCAATAGCTAGGAGGTCAATAATTCTTGGTTTAGAAAGTATCAATGTAACGAGGGGTTTTTTGTCTTCTAAAAGTATTGCTGAGTGAAAGTATAAAGAGCTCCAAATTCCAAAATTCAATATTTTCTGAAGGACCAATGTCTCAAAATGAACGCTTCAAAATTGTAAGCTTGTTTTTAAACCTTCCCTGACTACTGAAACTATAATACATAAATGTAACAGTTATATTAGATGTATGTTCACAAACACAACAATGTGGTTTCCATGTACGTGTTTGTCAGAAAAATATTCCCATTTTCTACATTTCAGAAAAACTCAAACTTTTATCTGAGTTGTCCCCTAGCTAACCCTGCCTAAGAAACACTAAGTTTAAGTTTAAAAAAAAAAAAAAAGTTGGTATCTTTAACCATAAGAGAAACCCTCAGAATTAAGTACAGCACGGCTTTTCTTCATTATGTGACTGGATTTATGAAGTGATAGCTCAGTAACATAATGTAGGGGCCTACTTGCTGACAAACCAAAATAGTTACATCTTAAATTTAGAGACTGTTTTGCCTCTTCAGAACTTTCTATGTTTAAGTGAATGAGAGCCAAATGTTTAAGGCTGGTGGAATACCTTTGCTTTTAATTGGGAGACCTGAATTTAAGTTACTTGCAAAAGAGCTTGTTTATTTCAGTTTGGAGCATGCCTACAGGAAAACTGGTAGCTGCTCAGTTGGATCCTCTGGAGAGTACGATGAGACAGAGGTGATTTGTTACTGGTTCTGTGTATCTTTGCAGGCAGTGACTCAAATCTTCAGCCTTCCTTAATGTGTCTTTCCAGCACATGGTGTCAGCCAGTGTGGAGAAACATTAAAATATTGACCTGGCAACTTTACCATAGGAGAAAGTAGTCTTGTTGTATATAGATCTGTGAAAAGATAGATTAGCAGAATTTAGTTGGCAGACTTCCTCAAGTTTGAGGTTGGCCTTGTTCCCTAAGGAAAAGTAGTAACTGAGATGAGTTTCCAAGAATGAGAACCTAGAATTCTCTGGTTTTCTACATCCACTGGGATGCCATATCCTTAGCTTAGGATGTATTTTCACCTTGTTTTGGTCCAGTGAATCTCATTATTCTAGACAGAATGGAGCAGATCCAATAGGGGAATCTGAATGTCTATTTCTCAGGAATATTTACTAGCTTAGTAGACAGGTGTTTTGGATATCCCCATCTGCTGTTAAAAGCACCTGTCTCCCAAAGGCACAGAAGAACAGTAAATTGAGGTCTGCACCCTTGTGTGCATTGTAAATAAAGAACTTTGAAGGACAGTCTCACTATATTTCATCAGCAGAATCTTAAAAGAAGGGTTCTACTCCAGAAAAGCTATGTTAGATGGTGATCTGCTATGGCTGTAAATCCTAAATGGAGGAAGAGTCTATGGAGAATTACTTTGTGGATTTCAAGAATCGTAAGGTCAAATCTTAAACTCTGTTTTTCTTGAGCTGTTCTTTATAGGAACCAGGAATGTCAGGAAAAGGAATAGTGATTCTTTATGTGAAAAAGATAGAAAAGAATATAGCTGTAATACAGCTAAACATTTTTGCTTACTTTTATTGTAAGCTTGATTAAAAATTGGAAGCAAAATGTAATTTTTCACTGTCGATGAACACACGATTTTTATAACTAATATATCAAAGTATGTTTTGCTGCTTAGGAAGCTCACATATTGTGTGTATTTGTCTATTTAAATGTTTTTAATATTTTAAATATTTTCATGTGTTTCAACAAAATACAAGTATTGGTGTTTTTCTGTGCATCAGGGGAAGAGATGGTACAGTTAACCAAACTTGCCACGGGATGTCACTCTGCCACTTTTGAGCTGGTTCTGTAGGTTTTCCACCATAGCTTCATAAGTATTTTCTGCAGCATTTTGGAATGACCAGGAACGGTTGGACTGTAACCACTGAAAGCATAAATTGTTATCTGAGCTCCAAGGTATATCTGCAGTTATTTTCAAATGTTTATTGACACTTTTTGCTTTTTACACTAAAAAGTACTCTCGTAGCAGTGATGATGTGCATCTATGCTTCCAGAGTCAGGACTGTGGGGATATTTTGTGTTTTAAAGCTTCCTAATGCAGCAAGGAAATAAATACCCCTTTTGCTACTACCTATTTTTCCTATGGAGGATCCTGTTTTCAACCAGTTAAAGGAAGTGTAGCAATGAAAAATAAAGCAATTACATTATTGTGTGAACAGTTTGTAGGAAAGCTTATTGAAACAGTCTGGTTCATGAACTGACAGAGCTTATGCAAGTCTTCTGTTTCTTTGTGATTTATCCTTTGCATCGTTACCAAATCTGTCCTTAGTATCATAAGAAGCTAGCAGTCACTTACAGTCATGATTGAGGTTCTCAGACTATCAGAAACCACTTCAGACTTTCTCCACAATCTGGCAAAGGTACTTGGCAACGTTCAGAGGCTTTATGACTTCATCTGAGAAGTTATAGGTGCAGAGTTCTCT